TGCCCACAGCCATGGACTGCAGAATGCATGTGCAGACCATTCAACAATAAAGATCAGTGTTGCAAATCTCAGTAATATGTATATAAAGCAAAACTCTACAATCCAAATTAAGTGAAATACTGTGGTGTATTGACACCACAACCTAGTGCTGCAAATCTTCACTCCATGTAAATAGTGTTGTGTGGATAAACATTACATAATGACAAATACTGACCACAATTCTTACCTCAATATAACTACAAATAGAAAATCACACTTAGTGTCTACTAGTTAGGACTATTGTCTCTGTGCGGCCCATGTACTCCAAGTGCGGAATAAATAAGCATAAGAGTATGGATACTTATTAATTAAATGTCCACAATATTTAAATAAACAGTCCAAGCTCATACAAAAATCCGTAGTGAATATATCTTCAGTCAAAATGAAGGATCACCAGTGTGATACAACTAGATTGTGATCCATCAATGTGCAAAGTGGCTGCTCACCTCCATTAATGACCCATACTTTCATATAGGTCAAATACACATTATCTGGTAAATTCCCAGGCGCTACCTGTAGACCACTCAAATGGATATTCCCCGACCATCAGTAGGTACTCAGAAAATATAGTGAAAAGGGCCGCCCATAGTGTAGTATATCAAACAAATATTTATTTAATGAAAGAATACCACTCACATATAAATGTAGGATACAGGCCATGATGTCACCCGGTTCAGTTCGACGTGTTGCGCCACAGATCACATGACTTCTTCAGAGATGGCAACGGCTGATCACCAGTCGGACCTTATAGAGTGCAGAAGTGTTTACAAGCTCCTAGGCAACCACAGTTTAACTTGCAACCTCTATTACTAACATAAGTAAATCCTATAGGTGGCGATATAATGATGTGCATAATGAATCAGCTAAAATAATAATAATATTGGCCATAAAAAAAAATATTATATAAAATATCTAAAATGTTGCATACAGTGTGAGTAAATAAAAAATTAAAAAAAAATATAACTAAATACTGGCCATTCTAAAGTAATATTATTACAAAATTGTATAAATAATATTGTATAAAAAACTATAAGAATAATACAACTAAAATGGGTGGGATATACTATAAATAATGCCCCACATTAATCTGTAATATATAAAGCAAATGATGATGTCAATTGCTTTATTTCAGCTTATTAAAGTATGTAGGGGTTATTCATCATAGGACATATTTTTTTTATTTATTTTGGTTATCATCCTCTTTATACCTTCTGCACATCTCTGTTATATTGTAAATTACCTAAAAATAGTGTTATAGCAAAATAAAGTTTAAAATGAATAGTTATTAAAAGATTATAAATTATCAGGTTCATTATTATGTTAATGTTATAACTGAGGCAAATTACGGAATTAGTATTTTTGGCGATAAAACTTATGTGCTAGAATAAAATAGGAGCCTTGTGCTAAAGTGCTTGTATTCAAGACTTCAAAATTTGAAACCAAGTGGTATAAACGTATTATTAATAATGCACATAAGTATATCTGAAACTTTTTTTTATTCATACAAAATTCGCAAAAGAGAGACGTATCCTAATCACCAATTTAATTAAATAACAGACTACCTTCATCCACTTGCTACATTAAAACAAGACACATAGGGAGCCAGGTACACCTTATTGGTGAAATGCATTGACATCAGAGCGTGTTGACATCATCAGGGCCATGCCTCCAAGCTACAGCGGAATGTTTGAGTGCCAGTAAAGTGACCAACGTGGTATCTGAAGGGAGCATGACTTTGCGGACAGACCAGCAGATACTCCTGTATGGCTTTTATCATTTTCCCTTACGGAACCTGTGGTACTGAGATTGCCCCAGTTGGGCCAGAGCTGGAATGCAAGTTTAATTAGTGAAGCAGTGATATTTGCGCAGAACTTGGCAGTGTGGTTTAATACCAACTAGAGACAGTACACCAGTTATGATGACTCAAACCAGAGTGTTATATTTGTCTCAGCCAATTGAAAAGCTGTTTGCTTTGGCTTTCTCTGAAGGATCTTTCTGCATAGCTAATTCTCTGCTACCGTTTACCTATCCTTATGCTTTGCAGCTGCCTATTGATTGTTCTATAATTACCGCTGCTGGATTTCAGCTAATAAGATTGTTGCTGAGATATTCTTTATAGATATTAATGTTGTAATTGGTATAGGGCAGTTTTTTATATAATTAATTTTAGTGCTTAGGATATGTCTTTCTTTGGCGATTTGTGTATGAATACAAATTTGTTTCAGATATACTTATGTGTAATATTAATGTTTATAGCACTTTAAATATGATCGCTGTGATTTTTATGAGGTGTGACAATTTAATTCCCTGAATTCCCGCAGTGTAGCACTATGGTGGTAAGTCACACAGCCATTCGAACTTGAGTGTGTTCTGACATGTTTTAACTTGCACTCACTTTGCAGACCTGGTGACTCAATTTCTACAGAGTAGTAGAAGAAATAACACGTTGTGGGTTTCGCTGTTGGTGGAAAATGAGTGACTGGAGCAGTATTTTAACATCAAATTTTGGTGTGAAATATGGAAAAAGTGTGAGTGAAAATTTAGCTGTGTTATAATTAGCTTTTGGTGAACATTCCATGAAGAAATCAAGTGTTTTTTTAATGGCATAGACAGTTTAGGGTGGGAAGATGTCCACGATGACACAAGAAATGGCCAGTCGAAACCGCAAAAGACGGTTACACATGTGAACAGAATATGAACCCTTGTACGCTCAGATTGAAGACAGAGTGTGCGAATGATGGAAGAAGAACTGAACATGAACAGGGAATCGGTGCAGCAGATTTATAATGGGGGATTTGGGAGTGGGAAAGATTTCCACAAAGATGGTGCCTCAGATCTTGACAGACGTTTAGAAGGAACATTGTCTTTCATTTCATCTGATCCTTTGAAGAATGCGGTGTATGATAGTGTTATTACCGGTGATGAAACATGGTGTTTCCAGTATGATCCAGAAATAAGATGCCATGCCGTGGAAAACAAACAATTCACCTTGCCTGAAGAAAGTATGCCTCTCTTATTTTAAAACCATGTTTTTTTTTTTTTTGTTTTTTTTTGTTTTTTTAATCACAAAGGGATAGCTCACTACGAATTCATAGAACATGGTACAGTTGCCAACTAACTGTTGTGGATCCACCAGGTGGTGCCTCTGGCAGCCCACTAGACGGAATCACCCGGAGCGTGGAGTCTAAGTCCTGGTCTGCGTTTTCACCAGGGCCCCTGATGGTGGGGATGGACTTGGAGCAGAACCAGGACCAGGTCACGACCTCCGAGCAATACCACCAGTGGCAGAGGGAGCCTCCGGGGATGCGTGTAAATCAGAAGAGAGTCAGATGTGAGGAGGCCGGCAGGACCAGGCAGGATAAACCGGCGTTTGTCACCGTGGGGAATGGCGAGGTACAAAGATGGCAGGCAGAGAGTGGTCAGGTCACACGCAGGGTCAGTATCAAAGTCAGTCCGCAGAATGGTCAAAACAAGCCGGGGGTCGGGATAGGAGAAGGCAGCGTAGTCAGGGGCAATCCGGGTCAACTCAGGAGAAGGCAGCGTAGTCAGATAATCGGGGTCAGGGCTGGAGCAGGCAGAAGGTCAAACAATCCGGGTCTTTAATCACAGGGCACAGGAAACTTCAGGTAACAGGTCAGAGCTTGCGGCAATTTGTGACAGTGCAGGGCATCTTTAAATATCGCGTCCTGCACTGTCATTGGCCGCCCAGGACGCGCCCGCGGGCTGTCATTGGCCGCCCAGGGCGCGCCCGCAGCTCCTACTGCGCATGCGCTGCATCCTGTCAGCCTCGGCCCGCCGGGACCTGGTGCTTGTGTCCCGGCGTGAGCTGCCGCTAGTGCGCATGCGCCAGGGACGGAGCCGCGGCGGTCCCTGACACTAACATTGCTACTTGGAAATTCTGAAAGGGTTACTGGAATCTGTTCTGAGGAAAAGATCAGAACTCTCTCCTGACAAGTGTATTCTCCACCATGACGCTCCTGCACATGATGCGTTAGGTGTTTGAGAGTCCCTAGCCCAGAGATCCATTCTGAAACTTGACCAATCACCTTATTCCCTTGACGTAGCACCCTGTGATTTTTGGCTGTTTCCAAAATTTAAAAATGTCTTAAGGACGTAGATTTTATGACATCCAGATGCTGCGACAAAATACTGCTCAGTGTTACGGAAAGCAAATTCCAGGAGTGTTTCCAGCAGTGACACAGATATCTAGAAATGTGGATCGCTTCACAAGGGGACTGCTTTAAAGGTGGCAATAGCCGGTAGTGTATAGGTAAGAAACCATTTATTTTTTTTTTTACAGTCCATTCTGGGAATTACCTGGTCACACCTCATATGTTATATCTTCTCATTTTGTAAAGTGAAGTTAAAAGGACCATTGAGACTGTACTTTAATATAGTGAGTTGTCAGACTTTTCAATTTGACTCCCTACAAATGTTTCTTTTAATGTGTTTAAAGTTATATTGCAGTTCTCAATAGATGGAGCAAGTTAGAAGGGCTGGAAGGATGGAAATATACAAGTTAAATTGTAGGTAAAGTGTATGTCAAACTAAAATAAAAAATACATATTTAACCTCCTCCCCCGCCCGCCATATAGTAAAATGACGGATGCAAGGCGGTTCTCTCGTTCTGGGAGGACGTCATATGACGTCCTCCCATTCTAACCGCGCATCCGGGAGCGTGCAGCGCGATTATCGGCGGTGCGCTGTGTCCCTCGGACACAGCAGGACACCGATCAATGGAAAGAGCCGAAGATGTCGGCTCGGTCATGTGATCAGCTGTGTCCAATCACAGCTGATCACATGTAAACAGGGAAATGCCGGTTATCGGCATTTCTCTCCTCTCGAGCTGTCACGCTGACAGCTCGTGAGGAGAGGAGAGCCGGTAATCCGCATTCCTTGGAGGGGACACATTGTACACTGATCATCAGGGCACTGATGATCAGTGTGCCGTGATGATCTGTGTAGCCCCAGTGTCACCTGTCCGTGTCCATCAGTGCCAGCTGTCAGTGCTCATCCATGCCACCTGCCAGTGCCACATTTCAGTGCCACATCAATGCCACATATCAGTGCCCATCTGAGTTACCTTTCAGTGCCACCTATCAGTGCCGCCTATCAGTGTGCATCAGTACCGCCTATCAGTGTGCATCAGTGCCACTTAACAGTGCCAGTCAGTGCCACGTAACAGTGCCAGTCAGTGCCGCCTATCAGTGCCATATATGAGTGCTGCCTTTCAGTGCCCATCAGTGATGCCTGTCAATGCCCATCAGTGCCACCTACCAGTGCCTCCTCATCAGTGTCCATCAGTGCAGGCTATCAGTGCCCATCAGTGCAGCCTCATTAGCGCACATCAGTGAAAGAGAAAAATCACTTATTTGCAAAATTTTATAACAAAACTAAGAAAAAACTTTTTTTTTTTTAAATTTTCAGCGGTTTTTGTTTTTTTTTTAGAAAAAATCAAAAACCCAGAGGTGATCAAATACCACCAAAATAAAGCTCTATCTGTCACAAAAAAATGATACAAATTTCATATGGGTACAGTGTTGCATGACCGCGCAATTGTCATTCAAAGTGCAACAGTGCTGAGAGCTGGAAATTGGCCTGGGCAGGAAAGGGGTATAAGTGCCATGTAGGCTAGTGGTTAATATATTCCAGCAATGTATGCAAACGTCCCCATGTTTGATTCCACTAAGCACTTAATAGGTAGATAAAATTATCTCTTTAAGTGCTAGAAGTATAGTGGGCTCCTACCTTCCTTCTTAACACAGTGGAGATGATTTACTAAAACTGTAGAGTGCAAAATCTGGTGCTGCTCCGCATAGAAACCAATCAGCTTCCAGGTGTTTTTTTTTTTTTTGGCCAAAGTTTTATGGAACAAGTTAGAAGCCGATTGGCTAAAAAGCACAACAGTTGTGTATAATAACAGTGCAGCACTAAATAAACCAATTATTCCAAAACCATTTTGACCTATAACAGTGTGCACAATATAATATATATATATATATATATATACACACACACACACATACATACACTATATTGCCAAAAGTATTGGGACATGCCTCCAAATCATTGGATTCAGGTGTTCCAATCACCTCCGTGGCCACAGGTGTATAAAATCAAGCACCTAGGCATGCGGGCTGCTTCTACAAACATATGTGAAAAAATGGGTCACTCTCAGGAACTCAGTGAATTCAAGCGTGGTACTAAGATAGGTTGCTATCTGTGCAATAAGTCCATCTGTGAAATTTTCTTGCTACTAAATATTCCACAGTCAACTGTTAGTAGTATTATAACAAAATGGAAACAACAGCAACTCCAAATTTTGTGTGGCCTTCAGATTAGCACAACAGTGTGTAGAGAGCTTCATGGAATGGGTTTCCATGGCCAAGCAGATGCATCCAAGCCTTACATCACCAAGTGCAATGCAAAGTGTTGGAAGCAGTGGTGTAAAGCACACCGCCACTGGACTCTAGAGCAGTGGAGACATGCTTCTCTGTCTCACAATTCTATAGACATGTCTAGGTTTGGCAGTTGCCATGAAAACGGTACTTGCCTGACTGCATTGTGCTAAGTGTAAAGTTTGGTGGAGGGGGGATTATGATGTGGGGTTGTTTTTCAGGGGTTGGGCTTGGCCCCTTAGTGTCAGTGAAGGGAACTCTTAAGGTGTCAGCATAGCAAGACATTTTGGACAATTTCATGATCCCAACTTTTTGGGAACAGTTTGGGGATGGCCCCTTCCTGTTCCAACATGACTGCACACCAGTGCACAAAGTAAGGTCCATAAAGACATGGATAAGCGTGTTTGGGGTGGAGGAACTTCACTAGCCTGCACAGAGTCCTGACCTCAACCCGATAGAACACCTTTGGGATGAACTGGAGTGGAGACCGCGAGCCATACCTTCTCTTCCAATATCAGTGCCTTTTGGCAGTTTAGTGTATATATACACAAGTGCTCAAAGTGTCCAAAGAAAAAGTCCAAAAGTAGAAAATGCAAATAATCAACTAGTCAGTCCCACATGCCATGATGAAAACAGGAAACTGCAGAGATAACCCAGGTGACACCATCCACTCTCATGCAAGGCTTACCGGAAGGAATGTAACCCCCTACTAAGAGAACCCTGATGAAGACACATATGACGAAATACGTAGGGCAGAGCCATGCACACATGTTACCACACAACCGGCTATTTGCCATCTTTGTCCCTGGAAAAAACTTTTCTCTGGCGTTTTTCTTATATGCTCATTTGTTGATACCATGTAAGTGCAATTTTCATTTATTAAACTTTCTGCGCTAGCGCTTTTACACTGTGTGGAGTATTTCTTTATCACATGCATTCTACTTCAAGTTCTGGTTCCATAGATTTGAGTTGGAGTATTGTGAAATTTGTGTTAACCACAGAAGCTGTTGTGGCCAAACTGCCTGTCATTGATAGATTCTGGGCTCCTTGAGGATGATTATCCACCCTTCCATGATGTCAGCTTTACCATTTTAAAGAGTGCTTATTGACCACTCTTAGTGGGGGGTCACATTCCTTTTGGTAAGCCTTGCATGAGCCTTTTGTTTACAATGCACAGTTGCACCGGATTTTGTACTCTACAGTTTAATAAATCAACACCAGTTTATTAGCTTTGAATTCCTCTCCTCATCTCAGGAGATTCTTGTCAAAATCAACAGGTATTTTTTGCACTTATTGAACAGATATAAACTTAATTCCTCTATTTTTATTAAAGATTTTGCAATAGAGACAAAGGAGGATAAGGGACTGTTCATACTATGTGCAGTTACCTGCATTTTACGTGCATTTTCCCTCATAGATAAATAAAGGTAACTGCAATGACAGTTTCTTTTTGTCATATTTATACCAGAACACAGTGTTTCACTGCATTCCAGAGTTGTAGGTTGTTATGCAAAATGTCAGTATAATATCACACCTCTCTGGATGGCCCTGCATGTCATCCTACAACAAGCGCAGGGCAGTGCCATTCTGTACAGTGACATGAATGAATTGTCACTTTGTGCACGTCACATAAAGTTAATTGAAATAAAGGGAGCTATGTGATGCAACAAAATGTTCTCTGCAGCCCAAAATGCCCGATGCCTGCACACTAAACCATGTGCAGGTTCGTGTGAACTAGCCCTTAAAGCAGAAACATTATTATTATTATAATACAGGATTTATCCACTTACCCTTTGAAGATTTACCCCCTTAATGACCAGGCTGTTTTTGCTATACAGCCCTACTTTACTTTAACTGGCATGCAACACTGTACATAAATGTTTTTTTTTTTTTTTTTACCCACAAATAAAGCTTTCTTCTGGTGGTATTTGATCACCTCTGTTTTTTATACTTTTTATGCTATAAACAAAAAAAGACCAACAATTTTGGAAAAAAAATCCCAATATGTTTTGCAGTATATTTTTTTACTTTCTGCTATAAAACATATCCAATAAAAACATTTAAAATCAAATTTCTTCATAAATTTACATCAGTATGTATTCTGCTAAATATTTTTGGTGAAACAAAATCATAAGTGTATATTGAGTGGTTTGCGCAAAAGTTATAGCATCTACAAACTATGGTGTATATATACTGGAGGTTTTTTTTTTATACTACTTATACAACTTATAGCTGGATTTTAATATTGTGGTGGAAAGTCTGTCACTAACTGACACTTTGTGGGAACCAGTGACACGAATACAGTGATCAGTGCTAAAAATATACACTGTCACTATATTAATGACACTGGCTGGGAAGGTGATAAACTTCTAGGACGATCAAGGGGTTAATTGCGTGCTAACCAGTGTTTTTGTATGTACATTTAGGTGATTTTACTAGGCAATGTACTGGATTTTATTCTGTGCCAGGGAAAGAAAATGCACCAGATTGCCGCTGACAAGACACAGGTCTGCCTTGTTTACAGAGGCAGAGCTGTGTCCTGTCACTCTCCTCGCCGATCAATGGGTGTTGGCGCTCATCCACTGGCCGTCACCCATTTATCAGCTTCTGCTGTGACTAATCACAGCAGAAGAGGTGCACCCCCTACACCAAGAAGTGCGAAATGACGTATATATACATGATATTGCACAGAACGGCCACTCTGTAGCAATACATGTGCTATAGGGTGGTTGGCAAGTGGTTAACCACTTGGTAACCGTGCTATAGCCGAATGAGGGTTACAGCGCTGATACTCAGTTCTGGGAGGGTGTCAAATGACGTCCTCCCAGAACGCGCCCGGTGTGCACCCAGCGATCTTTATGATCGCTGTGTCCTATGGACACAGCTGATCACGTGATGAGGTAAGAGGCCAATCACAGTGGCCTTTGACAATCCAATGACACAGTCCAATGACACAGCAGATCAGAGTAAATACAGTTGCCGGTTATCGTCAGCATTTTCCTCACACTGTCACAGCGTGAGGAAAGTACTACCGATAACCAGCAGCTGTAACAGAGGAGATTGCCACTGATGATCAGTGCCGTGCAGTGCCACCCAGCAGTTCCCAACAGTGCCTCCAGTCAGTGCCATCAGTAAGTGCTGCCAATCATGGCTTTTAGTCAGTGCTGGCTTTCAGTGTCGCCCATCAATGCCACCGATCAGTGCCGCCTATCAGTGCAGCATCATCGGTGCCTCCTCATCAATGCCCACCAGTGCCGCCTCATCAGTGCCATCTCATCAGTGCAGCCTATCAGTGCTGCCTATCTGGCCACCACTTCGGTGCTGCTTATCAGTGCTGCCTATCAGTGCCTCCTCATCAATGCCCACCAGTGTCGTGTCATCAGTGCCACCTTATCAGTGCTAATCAGTGCTGCCTATCCGGCCACCTCACCTGTTCTGCCTATCAGTGCAGCCTCATCAACGCACATCAGTGAAGGAGAAAAATTACCTGTTTGCAAAAATTTATACTAGAAACAAAGAAAATTTTTCAAAATTTTTGCTATTTTTTTGTTTATAGCACAAAAAATAAAACACCCAGTGGCGATTAAATACCACCAAAAGAAAGCTCTATTTGTGTGAAAAAAATTATAAAAATTACATTTGAGTACAATGTTATAATGATTGCACAAATATCATTCAAAATGTGACAGCACCGAAAGCTTAAAATTGGCCTGGGCACAAAGGGGGTGTAAGTGGCCGGTAGGCAAGTGGTTAAATAGTGCCAACATTTTACACAGCACTTTACAATATAAGAGAAGACAGTACAATTACAAAACAATTTAATACAGTAGGAATCAGAGGGCCCTGCTTGTTAGAGCTTACAATCTAAGACCATGCACAAATACAGATCTCCAATGAAAACAGTTGCAAATTAGAATTTACTTTTATGATGAGTTATTATTATTATTATACAGGA